TGAATTTTGTCAAATGCTTTTTCAGCATCTATTGAGATAATCATATGGCCTTTGTCCTTAAGTTTGTTGATGTGATGTATCACATTAATTGACTTTCCAATGTTGAAACATCCTTGCATCCCTGGGATGAATCCCACTTGATCATGGTGTATAATTTTTTTGATGTGTTGCTGTAGTCTGATTGCTAATATTTTGCTGAAAATTTTTGCATCTATGTTCATCAAGGATATTGGCTTGTAATTTTCTTTTTGTTGTGTCTTTATCGGGTTTTGGTATCAGAATTGGTATTAATACCTTTTTAAAAGTTTGATAGAATTCAGCTGTAAAGCCATCTGGACCTGGACTTTTCTTTGTTGGAAGATTGCTGATTACCACTTCAATCTCGATGCTTGTTATTGGTCTGTTCAGTTTTTCTCTCTCTTCTTGGTTCAGTCTAGGTAGTTTGTTTGTGTCTAGAAACTTATCCATATTTTCCAGGTTTTCATATTTGTTGTCATACAGTTGTTTATAATAGCCTCTAATGATTCTTTGTATTTCTGTGGTATCAGTTGTAATGTCTCCCTTTTAGTTTCTGACTTTTGTTATTTGGGTCTTCTCTCTTTTTTTGTTAATCTAGCTAATGGTTTGTCTATTTTATTTATCTTCTTTGAAAACCAACTTTTTGTTTCATTGATCATTTCTATTGTTTTTTGGGTCTCTATTTCATTTAGTTCTGCTCTGATCTTAGATCTTCCATACAATCCAGCAATCCCACTTCTGTATATATACCCAGAGGAATGGAAATCATGTTAAAGGGATACCCGCACTGCCATGTTCACTGCAGCTCTGTTTACAATTGCCAAGATATGGAACCAACCTAAATGTCCATTGATGGATGATTGGATAAAGAAACTGTAGTATATATACACTATGGAATAATATTCTACCATAAAAAAGAATGAAATTCTCCCATTTGCAACAACATGGATGAGCCTGGAGAAACTTATGTTGAGTGAAATAAGCAAAGCACAGAGGGATAAATACCACATGTACTCACTTGTAAGTGGTAGCTAAGAGAGAAAGAAGGCAGGAAAGAAAGACCATAGTGGTGTGTTGGACTTGCAGAGGGAGAGAACATACCTAGGGATACAAAATACAGTGGGTAGAAAGGGGAGGGGGAAGGAGGTTGGGGATAATTGGGTGGGGGACACAGGGTACAATTGCAATCTGTGGTAATGGGCATACTGCCAGTATGGATCTGGCCTTTGCATCTAGGGCATGAGGGGGGACAATCAGCTTTGTATCTCACGAATAGTCATAACCAAAAAAACCGTAATAAAAATGGTAGCACAGTTTTACATGTTAAGTGGTTAAGAAGTGCATAAGTACTATGACAAATATGGCTTTTTGCTCTAAAAAAGACCTGAAGTTTGCTTGTGGAAGTGTTAGAAGAGTTAAAGACTTGCATTTATCATGAAGTGGAGGAAGGAGGGGTATCTGAAATCAAACAGAACGTAGCAACACAATTGTGAATGTGTGAAATAACACATGTAGGGAACTGAGGTCCATATTACGTATTTGAAGAATGTGCATGTGTGCATTTTATGTATTCCTACATGGTTGGTTAAGCTAGGTGCAGTTTCCTGTGTTTAGCCAGTGCTTCTCAGGAACAAAATTGCACATAAGAAAACACAAAATTTACATTATGTTCACAGTTGTTTTTCAATATATATATATATATTTTTTTTATTTTTTTATATATTATATATTTTTATTTTATATATATATTATATATTTTTATTTTATATATATATTATATATATATTTTTTTTTTGTCTTTTTCCGTGTCCGGCACCGGATCGCAACCCTCAGTGTTGCCCCCGTACCGGACCGGGACCGGCAACGGGATCGCAACCCTCGGCGTTGCCCCCGCGCCTCGCTCAGCCAGTGAGCGGGAACCGGTCTGTATGTGGGATCCGAACCTTCGGCGGGAGCGCCGCCACGCTTCCCAAGCGGCGCACTAGCGCAGTGCGCCACCGGGCCGGCCCCATTTTTTAATATATTTATCATGTTAGAATACATTCATGTTGTTAAAGAAACATTATATTAGAACTGATTGCACTTTCTTAGCTTTTTCTCCATGCTTTCCTGTTTCTACTTGGCTGTACTCATTTCCTGTTAGTAATTTCTCCCAAATCGCTACATTGTCCTCACAACAAAACCTCTCCATGCAGCTAGGCTGTGGAACATACTTCTTTTTTTAAACTTTTAATTGATAAATTATAATTGCATATATTTACCGGGTACAATGTGATGTTTTGATATATGTGTATAATGTGGAATGATTAAATAAAGCTAATTAACATACCCATCACTTCACCTACTTAGCATTTATTGTGGTGAGAACTTTTAAAATCTACTCTTTGCAATTTTGAAATATACATATTCATTAACTATAGTCACATGGTAAGCAATAGACATTTTCTTAATCCATTTATCCACTGATAAACACTTGGGTTGATTTCATATATTGGCTATTGTGATTAATGTGGCATTGAACTTGACAGTCTTTGACATACTGATTTCAGTTTGTTTGGTTATATACCCAGAAATATAATTGCTGGATCATATGGTAGTTCTACTTTTAATTCTTTAAGAAACCTTATACTGTTTTCCACAATGGCTGTTTACATTTCCACCAACAGTGTGTAAGGGCTCCACCTCCTCCCCAATACTTGTTATCTATTGTCTATTATAATAGCCATCCTAACAGGTGTGAGATGATATCTCATTGTGGTTTTAATTTATATTTTCTGATGATTTGTGATTTCGAGCATTTTTCATATACTTGCTGGCCAATTTGTATGTCTTCTTTTGAGAAATGTCTACTCAGGGTCTTTGCCCATACCTTAATCTGGTTATTTGTTTTCTTGCTGTTGAGTTATTTGTTTTGAGCATTTTTCATATACTTGCTGGCCAATTTGTATGTCTTCTTTTGAGAAATGTCTATTCAGGGTCTTTGCCCATACCTTAATCTGGTTATTTGTTTTCTTGCTGTTGAGTTATTTGTTTCCTATAGATTTTAGATATTAGCCTATGGAGCATGCTTCTGAAGACATGAATCACCCTGGTTTCTAGGCAGTCCTCTTGAAAAGTAGAAAAATTAATCTCAAAATATTTTTTTGATTTTTTAAAATTGTATGATACATATTTAGCTGATGAATGTGCAGTTTCAAAATATTTAACCCTTTTCGGCTTCTTTCCAGTAGGTTGTGTGTACACATGATTTTTACCTCAGTAGCAATATAGAAATTAAGACTTTTTTATGCTATATATTTGTTCCAGCTATTTCACATTCACAGTAGGAATAACCTTCTTTAGAAAAATGTTAAGTTCTTTTTCTGAGTGTCATTGAAAACAAAACTTGTAAATTCACAAAGGATCTTCAATGAAAACAAAAAATTACAAAGTTTCTGTGTCCTTACCTATTAATTTAAAATAATATGTTGTATTATATCAATATAATATTATGTATTAATAAATTATACATAAACTTGATAAGATAATAGCTCATATTTAATACTTAGGATACATCAATGTTTTGTGCTAATATATATATATATGTAATTTATGTACAATATATTCCAGTTCAAATGCATCTGTTAACCTGTTTGAAAATTACTGATCTACCTTCATATTTTTTAATGTCAATCAACAGTTTTCTCAGAAACTTAGTTTTCCTAAAACTAGTTCTTTTCAGAAGTTCTTTTCTCAGTGTGAAAGCTGTATCTGTTTCATTTTTTTGAGTTCATGAATCTTAATTTAGAGATAAAGAAAATCCTAAATGGCATTTCATTTTCTATTCCTGCAGCGTTTGTCCAATGGTTCTATAGACTCAACTGACGAAACTAGTCAAATAGTCGAATTACAAGAATTGCTTGAAAAACAAAACTATGAAATGGCCCAAATGAAAGAACGTTTAGCAGCCCTTTCTTCTAGAGTGGGAGAGGTAGAACAGGAAGCAGAAACAGCAAGAAAGGATCTCATTAAAACAGAAGAAATGAACACTAAATATCAAAGGGACATTAGGGAGGTAAGTGATTCATAACACTTTCAGTCTTTGCTTCCTGAATGCTATGTCTGAGATGCTCTTTTTATAATTTCCCCTAATGGCATATCCTCTTTACTTTTTCTCAAAAAGCTATAATTTGGGATGTACTATATTAGTTAGGATTCTTGTTCAGAAAGGCCAAAATAGTTTATTTCATCAACCCTTCAAATATGCATGAAAAGAAATTTTTATTATCAAGTCTCAGATGTGATAAAATCTTTCTGAAGCTTTTAATGAATTTTTTAAAATTTAAGCTTTCAAGTTTAAATAACCCTGGAGGTGGGTATGAATTATAAATTGTTTTACTCTTAGCATATGGAAATACTCAATACTTTAAATTGTCCACTCTCTTATTTTGGTTTGTGTCTATGAATGTGAATGTATGTGTGTGAATATACATATACATACATATGTATAATATCAGCTTTCTTTTTCTATATACTCAGTTCTTGTTAGACTTAACATTGCTTTATTATATTTTGAAAAAGAGAGTACTTTAAAGTTACTACAGAAGATACAAGGAGATGTTGTATTTGTAACATTGCCTAATCATCTTACCTACTAAGGTAAAAGTTTAGAATTTTTTTACTTTCTCACAATTAAAAAGAAAATTATTTACATCTGTGGAAATTTTATTTTGCGATTTTTCCCCATTTCCATTTTCATATATCTGTAAGTGTCGTGCAATTTTATCTTTTTTATATCTTTTGGGTTTTTTTGTTTTGTTTTATTTTTTATTGAAATGTGTTAATTATATGTATTTGTAGGGTACAGAATTAAATATGAATACATTTTACAATGTATGATGATCAATTCAAGGTAATTATCATATTCATCATTCAAGAACTTAATCATTTCCTTGTGATGAGGACATTCAATAGCCTGTCTTCTAGCCCTTTGATAATGTGCAGTAAATTATTGTTAAGTATAGATGCATAGCTTAACTGTACACCCAGAGAACTTATTTTTCCTGTCTAGCTGTTATGTGTCCATTAACCAACCTCTCACTATCCCTCCTCCGGCTCCCTCTTTCCCACCTCTAGTAACCACAGTTCTGCTCTCTCCTTCTGAAAGTTCAATTTAATATTTTTACATTCTTTCTTTCTTTTTTCTTCCTTTCTTTTACTTTCTTTCTTTCTATCTGTCTGGATCCCACATTGTAGTAAGAACATCCTTCATTAATGGAATTGACTCTACTCTATGTACCTGATTATTTTCCTCCCATTCTCTCTTAAGTCTGTTTTATTACATTTGTAGCCCCACTGTCCCATCAAAATTGTTCATATAAAAGTCGTTATTGACCTGTATGTTACTGAATCCAGGGATCAATTCTTTGTTCTTTGAAGCACTTGATCCACTTACCACTCTTCCCTCCCTGTATCACTTTCTCACTGGGCTCACAGTACACTACACGATCCTAATTGTCCTCCGTATTTACTTGCTACCCTTTTCTCAGGCTCATTTACTGGTTCTGTTTTCCCTTCCCAACCTTGAAGTGTCTTCTCTTCTCAAGCTTCCTTCACTTCCCGGGTAAGGTCTCATAGCTCCAAAAACCACCCATGGCCTTACAACTCATAATTTATATCTATAGCTTGTCCTTCTCTCCTGATTTCCAGATGCTTATATCTAAATTTCTAAGAAGTATCTCAAACTTAGCATCTTCAGGACTGCTTTCTTGATATTCCCCCAACAAACCAGACTCTCTCACAGTCCTACACATCCATTAATATTGTTGCTTAGGCCAAAAAATCTTGGAGCTGTCCTTGGTACTTACTCCTCTTTGCACTCATATACTGCATTTGATTCAACAAATTATCCCCAACTTCAAAATATACCCGTAATGTGACCTCTTATCACAACCTTCATGGTTCTTGCTTGTTACACACAACCATTCTCTCTCACTGGAGTATTACAATACTCTCCTGATTTTTCTTTCTGCTTCTACTTTGGCTTACCTCAGATGACACTCAACACAGCAGCCTGAGTAGCCTGTCTATAAGTCAGCTCATGTCACTTTTCTGCTTCAAACTCTTTAATGGCTAACTATGCTACTTGCACTAATATCAAAGCCTTTTCAGTATCCTGCAAGCCATGTACAATCTCTACTCCTACCCTCCTGACCTTCTGGAGCTCATCTCCTACTCTTTCATTCTGTCTCCCTCTACTCAGTTTAGGTGGGCTCTTAAGCAAGCTGTACCTATTTTGCTGCATTTTCTTTTCCCTTTGCCTTTTGCTTAAATGTTATTTTCTCAGTGAAGCATTCCCTGACCTTCCTGTTTACACATATACACTCTTGCTCTTCTTTAATTTATTTATTCCAGAGCAATTTATACTCATCAGACACAATATATATTTTATTGATTTACTTGTATAATGTCTCCCTTCCCAATTGTATATAAAGATCCATAAGGGCTGGCCTTTTTTCTTTGTGTTTATTTGTTTGTTTGTTCACTGCTCTGTCTAATCACTTATACCTCTCTAGGCACTCAAAAAAATCTTTGTTGAAAGAATGGATGTTTATAGGTATTTACAGTAAGTAAACATCAAAAGGCATGGATGAGACTAGAATATGTACTAAAATAATGCCCATTGTCTCAGAAAAGATAAATGATCCATGAAGTGGTAGATTGCTCCACTGTAGCAAAGATAATGACACAACCTTATGTGAATTAGTAGTTCATGGATACATCTCTTTAATCCTCCCCATAACCCAAACTCAGAAAACATTTAAAGTAAATGAAATTTAATCCCTCTTCTATATCACTGTTATGGAATCATTAGGATTTCTGGCTATTAAATCTCTAGGTCCATTTCTTGATTTTTTTCATCATTCTATACTTCTTCATTCTCACAGTTTTAGAAATTTAACTGTTTTTCTTTCATTTTAGCACTCACCTTCTCTAGTCATACATAAACTAATCCAGTGTTTCTTAAAGTATCTAGAGCTCCTCCTTTCTGACTGCCCATTTAAAAATAACTCCTTGATACTAAGAGTTCTTAGATGTAGATGACAAAATGTCCAGTCAGATGGAAAATGTCAATCATCTGATGTCAGGTGTTCTTTTATTAAGAACCTAATGGATAAGGTATTCTCCTTTCACATGGAATTCTTTCGAAATGTAGCTATTCTTATCAGCCCTGCATTTTCCATGTTGTTATATTTTTAGAAGAGTTTCATCAGAAAGATTTCATCAATACCATCAATGAAATATTTTGTTTTAATAATAAAACCAGCTTAGTTTTTCCAACTTCCTACTAAAATCTCTTCAAAAGTTAGCCAAGTGATTAAATGAATGAAAACATATCAATTTTGTCTTTTCTATTATCTGAAACTTGGAGTTATATTTTTCACTTTACTAGATCTAAGTTAAAATAGAGTTATATTTATTTGATGTAATAAAATCCAATTTACTTATAAACCTGGTTAAGAAATCATTGGATCTTTATACCTTTTTTCCTCATTTTTAGGTAGCAATTTTAGAAAAAGCTTTTAGAAAAAGCTTCCTTTTTTAGAATTTCCAAATAACACAGAGGGAAAACTATTTCTGTGACTTGTAAATTCAAGAATTATTTTTGGCAACACAGCTTGCAGTTAAAAATTGAATCTTCTGCATGAATCACTGAATCAAAACTACAGTACCAACGCTGCATATAATGAGTCTTGCAAGTAATGTATGCCACAGAGTGAGATCAGCCAATTGTAGATGTAATAGTAATTAATAATAAAAAAGCATTTGCTATTTATTGTGTATGTATTCTACATGAGGCATTATACAAAGCACTCAAAATATTATATCAACCAATTCCTAACAACATTATGTGGTAGGTATTAGAATCCCAACCCAACAACAAGAACAACAACAACAAAATGAAGAAGTTGAGGGGTAGAAGAGGTAAGCAACATTTACCTATAATAACAAAGTTAATAAGTGTCAAAAACTCAGATTTGGAGCATGTATGTAATACAGTGCTCATGTGCTCATGACAAACATGTGTATGACTTTTACTTAATTTATCACTATTAGAATTTATTACAGAGTTTCTATATGCAGGCTACATTCAGAATTTTCTCTTTAGGATACGAAATTCATGTAATATTCCCAGAGTTCTGTATTAAAATAAACAGAGAATGGAATAGTAGCAATTTACAGAGTTTCTATATGCAGGCTACATTCAGAATTTTCTCTTTAGGATACAAAATTCATGTAATATTCCCAGAGTTCTGTATTAAAATAAACAGAGAATGGAATAGTAGCAATACTAGGCACTCTGAAGTGGTCCTCTAAGATTCTATGCTTACTGAGCTAAAGAAACAACTATAAAATGGAAAAAGGCAAAATTTAAACTAAAAAGCTTTCCAAATAGTAGGTATTGTTTGGGATTTCTAAAGGGGTGTGTATATAAAGTGTTAAAAATATTCATCTGGATAATTTTTGCCAGATTGATGGATTTATTTAATTTTTATTTTTTATTCATCACAACTTTTTAATATTTTCTTAATTGAAACACAATTGGTTATACATATTTGTGAGGTATAATGTTGAATATTAATACCTGTGTACAATCTGTGATGACCAAATCAGAATAATTAGTATAGTCAACTTTAAAAAACATAATCATTCTTTGTGACCCTTAGCCAATTTCACACTATCCCCCTTCTCCCTCCCCTTTCCCACCTGTAATAACCATAGTTCTGTTCTCTCCTTTTGAAAGTTCAATGTATTATTGTGATTGTTGTTTCTTTTTTCTTTTTCTTTCTTTCTTTGTTTGTTTTGTTTATTTATTTATCAATTTTTATTTTTTTATTCATCACAACTTTTTAATATTTTCTTAATTGAAACACAATTGGTTATACATATTTGTGAGGTATAATGTTTAATATTAATACCTGTGTACAATCTATGATGACCAAATCAGAATAATTAGTATAGTCAACTTTAAAAAACATAATCATTCTTTGTGACCCTTAGGCAATTTCACACTATCCCCCTTCTCCCTCCCCTTTCCCACCTGTAATAACCATCGTTCTGTTCTCTCCTTTTGAAAGTTCAATGTATTACTGTGATTGTTGTTTCTTTTTTCTTTTTCTTTCTTTCTTTGTTTGTTTTGTTTATTTATTTA